GCTCTTCCGCGTGCCACAATATAAATTCAATTTCACTTCATTTTCCCTTCCATTTCTTCCCCTCCCCAGTCCCTCGCACGCAACAACAAAATCCACTCCTATATCTCCTCCCTCCGCGTCGCTCCCAACATTTTCTCCCTTCTTCACCGCAAAAAACATGGTTAGTTTACCCTCTCTCTATTTCTTTCTTTTTTTCTTTTTTTTTTTGGTTTCGTTTTCTTTTGTTTTTTTTTTAAACCTCAGGAAACAGATAAAAGATAACTAAACTCAAGTTCCCAGCGATAACAAGTTTTCTTCGCAAAATCTCGAAATCTGTGGCAATCTTTGTTTGTTGCGTTCTCTCTCTGTGTGTGTCACTGTGTGTTCTTTCAATCCGTTTTCGCCGTTCACTGATTCTTTGTTCTGGTCGAGTTTGAGTTCGATTCACGGTCGATCTGATCATCGGCATTCAACAGTGTGGAATCGAAGTTTTTAATATGACTTTTGTGTTTCGCTTACTGTTTAATATGGCTTTTGCTGATAGATCTGATTTTGATGTCGATTTCAGCGTTTAAGATGGAATCACATTGTAGCTTTGCGATTTGGTTTTCTGTTTGCTCGATCCTGTAGTGACGATTCTGATAGCGTGTGGTTTGATTCATCTTTGGACTGATGATTTTCTGCACTAAATTTCATGGATCCGTTTTTATTTTGCCATCATTCATTATCATATATGCACTATTATCTTGCTCCGTGTGCTTACTTCGTCAGGCCTCCAAACTATTCATCATTTTGCTGTTTTCCTTTTCACTATAATTTTTTTTCCCATGCATAATCGCTTGAGCTTGCTGCATAGTGGAATAAAAATATATTATATATTTGATAAGCGTAGTTGATCCCATCTATTGGAATGAAATTTGGTTTTAGTTGTTGTTCATGTTATAATCAGACATTGCTTGGCCATTTTAGATCCTATTTGGATAGATTTCTCAATAAATATTTATATGAGAAGAAAATAATAAGCTTAAAGAAATTAAGTTATTCTCCTAAACTAAAATTAGCTTTAGCTTATGTATAAGTTAAAACATATTATTCTTTAGAAAAGTTTAATGAGAGTTTTTATAAATTAGCTTATGATGTAAGATAATTTTAATTTGGGAGAAACTTAATTTGTTGTACTTTTTTTTTCTTTTAAAAGGACTTATTGAAAAGTTTATTCAAATGGTGCCTTGATTGTTTCTTTGTAGCATTGCAAGTATTTTTCTTGTGTTAACCGCCAACTACTTTTTGAGATGTACAGGCGAACGCGGCATCGGGTATGGCTGTCCATGATGACTGCAAGTTAAAGTTTTTGGAGCTCAAGGCAAAAAGGACCCATCGGTTTATCGTTTTTAAGATTGAGGAGAAGCAGAAGCAAGTTGTTGTGGAGAAGCTTGGTGATCCAGCAAATGGTTATGATGATTTCACTGCCCTGATGAGTGTCGATATGCTGTTTATGATTTTGATTTTGTCACTGAAGAGAATTGCCAGAAGAGCAGAATTTTCTTCATTGCATGGTAATGTAAACTTTTAGCCTCTTACACAAAGAAAACAACACTAACTTTTAGGTTTGCCAATTCTTTTTTTTTTTTATTTTAATTTTTTTATGATCAGTAAATAATTTTTATCTATATTAATTTTGTTGCTTTTGTCTGAAGGTCCCCTGATACAGCTAGGGTTAGAAGCAAGATGATTTATGCCAGCTCCAAAGATAGATTCAAGAGGGAGCTTGATGGAATTCAGATTGAGCTGCAAGCAACTGACCCTACTGAGATGGGTCTTGACGTGTTCAAAAGTCGGGCCAATTAAAGGATTCTGATTATGCATAATAGGAGTTGTGATGGGGAACCTCCTTCAGCCTATTTACTCATATCGAAATGTCTATAGTTTGTGGGTCAACTTGGCTAATTTGGACTCAATTTTCCAAGTTTTGACATGAAGTCTATTGCAACTTCAACATGCTTCTGTTGTTCCGGTGTATCTTGTGGTTTGTGACATACAACCCCGTGTTTGGGTGTCATCTTAGTCCTATGCCTACTAGTTAAATATTGTAACTGTTTTTGTGTGATTGGACCAAAAATTGGGATCAGCTATTGATGTAATATTGACACATGCCCTCTTACTAGTGTCTTATGGCTTAAATTAACTGAAATACTTTCTTGAAGAATGCTTTTTTAAAAACTTTTTTTTCTTCGACACCTTTTAAAACTTATTATGAACTAAGTTATACATAACAAGATCAAGATATTTATGCATTAAAAAACAATGCACTTTGTGTTCTTTTGCTGTTTTCCTTGAAGTGAAGGTTAGTATTAAACAATAGCTTACTTTACAGATGTAAAGTTTAGTAATTTAATTATGCCTATATTAGACTGTACACAATTGCCTCTTTTTCCTTCACGCATCCTTATCGGAGTTTCAGGAACTTTGAGTGATCAGTCAAGCATCTTAATGTTAGACTGAAGAAATTATATTTGCACCCAAAATAATTTTGGTCATGTTTGATTGAAAATATGTAAATGCAAAAAATCGTGATTTAAAATTGTACCTTCCCGGTAGAATTCCGATTAGACCCCCCACTCACCTAATACCCGTATGGACTGTCACAGCGTGTAACAACTCGGCTCTAACCCAATTACATGCACCCACGAGGGCATTCGCCGTTTTCCCGACAGGTCTCCTTGTAGCGGCCTTGTCGGTAAAATCCCGACATGACTAACCACCACTCACCCCCAGGGCTTCGAGATAAAAACGGTTAAGGAGGATCCCGATAATCGCGGGGCCCACGAAGCCCATAACACAAAAGTATAAAACCCAAAATCCTAGGGCTAGGACGACATCAGTATACAGTGATGAGAAATGTGAAACTTCCGTATGACGCCACATGCATGCATTTATGAGTCGAGTCCATAACATCATTGCATTATAAATGAGTGTGCATGTGATACTGATTGTGTATGCGTATTGTTTACATGTGATTTGTGCTTGTGACTTATGTTTGTTGTGTGTGTGTTATCTAACCTTATTTCTGCACCTGAATCTGAGTGAGATGTTTCTCACTCCCTTGTTATTCTTGTATGTGTTTAAATTGTGTTGCAGGTGATCATTAGCATGAGGATGTTGGTGATGAGGCTTAGGCTTCAGTTGGGAGTGCTTTGATAGGATATGTGATATCGGGGCATAGTTATGCTTAATTTGGGAATTTAGTTTCTTTCTTTTGTTTTGGAAAATCTTCAACTTTATTTCTTCTGTAATTTCTGCAAGTGAATTATGATTATGTTTATGAATATGAATTCTCTACTCTCATGTTATCGGAACCATGGTTTTAATTCAAAAGATTTATTTACTCCAAGAATATGTTTTCATAATTATTGTATATGTATGTTGGGGTAGAGAGTGTCACAAATTGCAGTTCAATTCAAGATTTTATAGTGTAGTTTAGTTTAGTTCAATGACATAAAATAATAATTCATTTCAGTTCGACTGAACTAATATTCAGTTTAGTTCAGTTCTTGAGAACTACTTTTAAATTTAGTATAGTTTTTATAAGTTCAGTTTAGTTCAATTTATTTTGCTCACCCCTAGTAGTGGTGGTGATGTTGGATGACAATGATGATAGTTGAGATGATAATAATAATAATAGTGTCATTGTCACTATCGTAGTCGTTGTAACCATTTAATGGTAGAATGATAAAATTAGCAACAACGGTCGTTTATAATCCTGAATGTGACAATAGTAATGATCTCATAAGAGTGGTACTTATAATTGAGTTTTAATTTTAATCATTAATTATTTTTATCTTAATTAAAAAATTATTATTTAGTTCTCTCATATATTATAAATTAATCAATTCCTATATAATAAAAACGAACCTTTATTTTATATAAGAATGTTTTTAGAAGCTTTTCTTTAATGAGAGATTTTAAAAATTTGTTTAACTTCTTATATAATTCAATTTTTATTTATTATAATATTTCTGAATTATATTTTTATAGTTTTTAAAATTATTAATAAATAAATAAATATTGTGCTACAATATAATTTATTTATAATAAATCTAAAATATAAAATTTATATATTTGAAAATATTTATTTATACAAATTTTAAATATAATTTATGTATTAAAATATAAATTATATATACTAGAGGGAAAGAAATATTTCGTACCTCTAAATATTTTTAAAAGTAAAATAAACAAAAAAATATAATAGTATTAGCGATTATTTAGAGTTGGTTAATGACAATTACTAAAAATATTTTTTTCTTAAAAATTAAGAATTTAATCATTCATAATTGTGGAGACAAAAAACGATTACGAAAAAAATATTCTTTTTATCTATTAATATAAATATATAATTTATTATAAATTTTAATTATATATAATAAATATTTAACTTATGCATTTTACATGTTAAAAAAATATTACTACTTTTGGTTAATCTCAATCTATTTTGATTAGTTTGAAGTATTGCAACTTTGAATACTTTTATGAAACTCAATTAAAATTGAAATAGTCAAATCACCGACAGAACAAATTTGTGATAGATGAATTTATAACCATAACATTTTTATTTCACGCATAAATTGAAACGTGAAATCGTGCTAGTTTGAATAAAAAGAACCTACGAACGAAATCCTCCACAAACAGATCCCGATGATGTTTTACATGTTTTATGTCTTATTTGTTGGTGTAAATTGTGTGAGAATTGACTTATTACTGTGTTGACATAAGTGATGTGTTTTATGAGCATGATAATGACAATAATCTCCAAATTATGATCTTATGAGTATGATTATGAGAAATGTGAAATGTGAACAAGTAAAAAAGAGACATGATGTGAATTACGTGCTATTATGAATACTATGACTATGAGAATGTGAAACGTGATGAAATGAGATAAGTCATGAAATTTCTTGACAAGTAAAATGTTGAGTCCATGAGTTTGTGAATGTGTGACATGCATCATATGCATTTATGTGACGGGATACGATATGGAGTACATTGTTAGGGAAGGTCCTCTAGTGTGAAACATTTTGGAGGAGTCCTAGGGGATAGTGCAGTTTGGAAGGCCCAGTTCTGCCCATTTGTGTGCATTAGACGTATCTTGCGCGGCTTTGCTATCCCGACGAGACCCTAGCAGTACATCCTTCTACTTGAGAGTGCATGGTTGAGCCGACATATACTTCTATACTACTCCAGGTATGTTGCTTCGGAAACATACCACATGATATGTAATTATGAGACACGTGACTGGCACCACATGCACGCATTTATGAGTCGAGTCCATGACATCATTGCATGATAAATGAGTGTGCATGTGATACTGATTGTGTATGTATTTTGTTTATATGTGATTGGTGCTTGTGACTTGCATTATGTTTGTTGTGTGTGTGTTGTATAACCTTTATTTCTACACTTGAACCTGAGTGAGATGTTTCTCACTCCCTTGTTGTTCGCTGTATGTGTTTAAATTGTGTTGCAGGTGATCATCAACATGAGGATGTTGGTGTTGAGGCTTAGGCTTTAGTTGAGCATGCTCTGATAAGATATGTGACATCGGGGCATAGTTAGGACTAGTTTAGGACTTTATTTTCTTTCTTTTGTTTGGAAAATATTTAACTTTATTTCCTTTGTAATTTTCGCAAGTGAATTATGATTATATATGCGAATGTGAATCCTTTACCTATTTGTTAATTAAGACTTATCTAATTGAGAAAGTTTTTATTCATTCTAATTTTATCCTACAATTATTGTGTATTATGTCGGGGTAGAGAGTGTCATACATTAAATCTAAAATAAAAATGTTATGGTTATAAATTCATCTATCACAAATTTGTTCTGTCGGTGATTTGACTATTTCAATTTTAATTGAGTTTCATAAAAGTATTCAAAGTTGCAATACTTCAAACTAATCAAAATAGATTGAGATTAACCAAAAGTAGTAATATTTTTTTAACATGTAAAATGCATAAGTTAAATATTTATTATATATAATTAAAATTTATAATAAATTATATATTTATATTAATAGATAAAAAGAATATTTTTTTCGTAATCGTTTTTTGTCTCCACAATTATGAATGATTAAATTCTTAATTTTTAAGAAAAAAATATTTTTAGTAATTGTCATTAACCAACTCTAAATAATCGCTAATACTATTATATTTTTTTGTTTATTTTACTTTTAAAAATATTTAGAGGTACGAAATATTTCTTTCCCTCTAGTATATATAATTTATATTTTAATACATAAATTATATTTAAAATTTGTATAAATAAATATTTTCAAATATATAAATTTTATATTTTAGATTTATTATAAATAAATTATATTGTAGCACAATATTTATTTATTTATTAATAATTTTAAAAACTATAAAAATATAATTCAGAAATATTATAATAAATAAAAATTGAATTATATAAGAAGTTAAACAAATTTTTAAAATCTCTCATTAAAGAAAAGCTTCTAAAAACATTCTTATATAAAATAAAGGTTCGTTTTTATTATATAGGAATTGATTAATTTATAATATATGAGAGAACTAAATAATAATTTTTTAATTAAGATAAAAATAATTAATGATTAAAATTAAAACTCAATTATAAGTACCACTCTTATGAGATCATTACTATTGTCACATTCAGGATTATAAACGACCGTTGTTGCTAATTTTATCATTCTACCATTAAATGGTTACAACGACTACGATAGTGACAATGACACTATTATTATTATTATCATCTCAACTATCATCATTGTCATCCAACATCACCACCACTACTAGGGGTGAGCAAAATAAATTGAACTAAACTGAACTTATAAAAACTATACTAAATTTAAAAGTAGTTCTCAAGAACTGAACTAAACTGAATATTAGTTCAGTCGAACTGAAATGAATTATTATTTTATGTCATTGAACTAAACTAAACTACACTATAAAATCTTGAATTGAACTGCAATTTGTGACACTCTCTACCCCAACATACATATACAATAATTATGAAAACATATTCTTGGAGTAAATAAATCTTTTGAATTAAAACCATGGTTCCGATAACATGAGAGTAGAGAATTCATATTCATAAACATAATCATAATTCACTTGCAGAAATTACAGAAGAAATAAAGTTGAAGATTTTCCAAAACAAAAGAAAGAA